AAGAATAACTATCATTGTGATGTTCCACTTCCATATTAAGATCAAGAAATCACAGCTTGTTGCAAGGAATTTGTATGGCAATTAATAACCATGTGCCATTTTGATGAATAGAGAACTTTCCATAGCCAACAATCATTTCAATCAAGATATGACAATGTTTATGTGATCTACATGAGAGAACTGCTACTACTTGTGCTAATATAATCATAAAAGATATTTGCAAAGGGTACATCAGCCATAGCTACTGCTGTTGTGCAGAAACAGTGCCCGCAAATAGTCCACCGTTGTGGGCGCAGACAATCCGCGGTTATTGTTCACGTAAGAACAACAACAGTGCAGTTTAATCTTGCAACCCAAAAATCTTTTGGTTCAACAAGTGATTTCCAACTAAATTTTTGGCATAGCTTCCTCTCATCACTACCAACAAATGCCCCCACTTTGTTTCACGAATATATGGCTAAAAAATAGATCCGGAATCAAACCCTAAATGTCATTCAAACTCTAAATCCATCCAAAAATGAAGGGAAAACTTTGAAATACTGAGAGGACATGGTGGAGAAGCTCGCAGAGTGTTCGAGAAACTTCATGGAGTGTTTGGGGAAGCCTCCAGACCCTTGCTCCCCTCCCTTCATCCTTCTTCTTTCAAGGTGAGAGAGATGGAGAGGGCTTGGGCTTTCACAAAGGGGTATGGGGACAAAACCCTTCGACCGTGTCTGGTCTGGGTTAAAATCCGACCCACAGACAGTTCGTGCCTAGGTGGAAGTCTATCCGCCGTTGATTTTTTCCTCCCCCAACTTTTCTGCATAAAATCTACTGGTGACTATTAATTGTACTACAGGCAGTCTACGGTCCAAGTGGCGGACAGTCCGCGGCTAACATTTTTGCACAGTGTGCTTGTTGTCCCTTTGTGCATTTCTTTCTAATAATTTTCAAACCAATTTAGCACTTTCTCAAACTATTCAAATACTTTTTCCAAAACTGATTTCACATGAAATCCATTCTAATTCTCTTATTCTCATAATTCTCATTCTTGTGATGACATTGCTTATGGACAAAGTCTCAATATTGCCAATTTGATCAACCAACAACCAACAAATGGGCAATATTTCGACAAAAAAGATAAGACAAATATGAACAAGGGTATGAACAAAAAATAAACAACATGCTCCTATAGACATACTAGTAAGGTATGCTATGCAAATGCACAACCAATTTTCATACACTGTTTGATGTGAAGAGATGATCCAATATATAATTCCGAGTGAAGGCCAATATATACATTCATGATAATTCACTTGGATCAATCATCTTCATGGCCTAGATGCTTTCAGTTTTTGCCAACTCATCAAGCAACAATATATTTGACATTCATTTCTTTCGCTTGGGCTAGAATACTTTCATGAGCTTTCAATTGCCAATATCATCCATCAAATACATCAAGTTCAGTTTGAACCTTCTTCAAGCTTCTTCACACACTATTGAGCGGTTATCTTTTCAAAGTTAAACTTGTTGCAAGTTGACATTATCAACCACTAAAAGTGGTTTGCTTATGAAACATTGGCATATAGGATGGCATTGGTTCATGATACAGAGTAATTCATTTCAAACTTTGTTTTATGTTGATGAAGAAAATAAATCAATATGCCAAGCTTCCAATGCCACCTTTGTACCTACTAATCATTCAATTGCTTGATGATACCCAACCAGTGTTGGGTCCTCTCATGTTAGTCACTACATGCTTGGGCACCTAAATGGCCTTTGCATGCACAAGGTAATGATTAGCAATTGTAACCTTCACGGTACCATTGTCCTTCCTAAGCAAATAATTTGCATTAATTGAACTTGGCTTAGGTTTGTTACCTTTGGCACAATTCTTTGCAAAGTGCCCCTTGTTATGGCATTGATAGTACTCATTGGAGAAATCTTTGTTCAGTTTCTTCTTCTACCTCCTCTTCTTGTTTTCTTCCTTCCCAACTTATCACCAACTTCAAGGTTGACATTTACTTGCACTTGGGAAATCTTTGAGTCATCTTCACTTGAGTCTTGTTGTTTCTTTTCTTTCTTGTTGGGACAACTCATAGCTAATTGACCCATCTTGTGGCATTTGGAGCACTTGTAGTGAGAAAGCTTCTCATCTCTAATTTCAGTTTTGTTTCTCGGGAGCCAAACCACCGGAGACGGTTTGCATAAGCAGGGCCAGGCCAAAATCGACGTGCAGGAATTCCAAACAAAAGCCTCATTGCACCCACGGGCCAGGCTGACCCAAATACACCCAACCAAGTGGTGGCTACTGGCACCTCGCACGAGGGCTGATTCCTTTCCAGCTCCCACCCGCGGTTGAACAGCGTTTCGTTGTTTCCTCGATCTAGATCCAGACATCACCCCCTTCTCCTTCCGGTCTTATACCGAGACTATTCATATTCATATAGGTGGTGGGCGTCCGCGGCCTCGTTCTCGGCTCCTCGTCTCGAACGCGGTGCTACTTCTTCCACGCTTGGGCTGCTCTCATCCTTCCGTCCGGGTAAGGAAGCCCTGCCTTCGCTTAGATAAATTGTTCGTTTTCATCTGCAGGATCTTTACTTCGTTGTGAGACCTCAATTCCAGTCATTTTTCCCCCTCTCCGATCCATCTAGTCTGTCCATGATTGGGTCTGCTCTGCTGCGTCGTGGACCTACTACTGGTAGCGGGATCGTTGGTAGAGTTGCAGTCATTAACTCCCGTGCGTACTTGCGGGATCGACAGTGGTAGGCCACCCGTGCTTTTCATTGGCAAGGTGTGTGGTGTGATCTGTTCATGCGTTCATGCCCCTGGTCTTCCTTTTTTTTTTTTTTTTTTGCTTGCTTGCTTGCAGACAGAGAGAAATCGATTCAAGTATTTCTGTCTAGGTCGATGCTCCACTCCGCCTGCTTTTTTTGCTGCGTGGATGACTAAGGTAGCAAACTTTTTAGCCATAAACTGTGGGTGATCATCTGGATCCCATGTCTTCTGAGTCTACTACACCAAGGTAGTCTTAGTCCAATCGTCGCCTTTGACCCTGCCCCTCGACATTGTAGATCACTTGATAGCTTTTTTTCTTCCAAAAAAAACTAGGATGGTGCATTTGAAGCCATGTGGCTTATGCCAAGTCCGCCCTTGGTCATGCTATTAGTCCGATCATCTTCTTTGACCCAGTCAGAAATGGGTTTAGACCAGTACAAGGATGACCAGTACACATAGCCTTGGTCTGTACCCATAATTAAGAGAATCACAGTGCCATTTAGTGAAGGAAGCTACATTCCATAGTGTGTAAGCAGGTGATATACATGTTGAACCGAAGTGTGTCCAGGTGCTTTTAGGTGGCAAGTCAATATTTATGCTAGTTTAGGACATTATTCGTGACGTAAACAGAAACACGTTTTTTTCTTGTGCTTGCTTACCTAGCATTTTCATATGCACAGCAAAAAGAAAATACAATACTATTGTAAATACTACTATACTAGTACCCAAATTTATTCTTGTTAAAACTCTCTGTTTGCTATTAAATTATTTTTTGTTAATCATTTAGATTTCATGTATGTCTTTCCTACTCTACTTTAATAGTAGTTCAGACTTCAGATTACCAACACAGACAAGCAATGTATGAAAATGCCCTGGCTGTATTTTTAAGTAGTAAGAGAGATTCTTGGAGGAGAGTGAAAGAGAGGACTGTCTTGATTGTTAGCCAGTTTCTGTTTCCTTTCAAGTCAGGAAATTGATAGAGGCATGCAGAAGTCTAGTCAAGCTGCAAAGCTGAAGAAATGGATTCATGAACCTTTTTTATTTTGTCTATCCCTATTAAAGTACCCCTTATGCCATGCCATAAAAGCAACGTTGATCTGAAACTTTTATTGTGCCATGGAGTTTCCTAAATAGGTTCATTGCTGTTGGTTCCAGTAATGCTATAAATCCCATGAGACTAGCTATCTGCTTTTCCCCTGTCAGTATTTTGAATATGCTTAGCTAGTTAGCTCTGCAGCTCATATGGCTAACTGCTATTTCAGTAACCATATAAATGCAACAAAAATATGAACACCTTACATGTATTTCAAGAAATGGTAAAAGAGATTCAGAGAATGGAAGAAAAGAGTGACTTGTTTAATTACCCTGCTGGTTGCTGCTGCTGGCCTGCTGCCTATAAAGCCAGTAAATTAGTAGAGGTCTGCCGAAGTCAAGTCAGGATGCAAAGTTGGATAAATGAATTCATGAACCTTTTTATTAGTGCGATTCTTATTGATCTGGCCCTTATGTCATGTATATGACAAGTAACCCTTACCTGAAACTTATGTTCTTCCAAGTAGGTTCATTGTTTCTGGTATCATAATCTCTAACTCCATGAGAATATCTTTGTTTTCCCTGTCCACCAAGTCTTTCAAGTTTCAACTGTAAATGCATATGAGCATGAATTGCAGAACTTTGTAGCGCATGAGAAAATAATAATATAATTAAGGTTTTCTGCCCGGTCTCATCCATTACTTGTTAATCTTCTCATTTGAATCACAGTATCACTATTTCCTTCAGATGAGACTGTACTTAATGAATGTCTGAAAGCCATTCACCCAATGCATGGAAATTTCTGGTTCACTAGAGATGCAATTGTTTCCCAGTATTACCCCGAAAAAAAAATTGTTTCCCAGTATTACCATTTCATGCCGCATACTGCGATTGCATCCTGAAGTTCTGATCCTTGTCATTTTTCCAATCTATCAATTGTTTAAGATTTGCAGATTACCATATTCCGCTTATCTATTTCATACACTATGAATCAGGTATTATTAGCTTGGAAGAAACAATCACCTCAATAACATGTTTGTTTTGACATCCTGACACCTATAGCTATTAGCAACTTATTGTTGATAGGAGTATGTTGTTTGATTGACGATGGTCCAACAAAAATCATTCTAGTCTTTTTTTCTTTTGATCCTGTGCACACCTTGCTTACACTAATTCCCCCTCTTTGTTCTTGGTATTAGCAGAAGCGCAGCATGGCAAAGATCAAGCCAAAGGCCTTGCTGGCACAAAGCAAAGTGAAGAAGGCCCCTAGCCAAATCAGTGTGACTACTATCGTTACCTACATGATCCTTGGCGTCCTGGTCGTATCCTCTGTTTATGCTGCCTACAAATACTTGACAGGCAAAGGACCAGTGGAGGCAGTGGGCGTCCAGGGGAATTAATCCCCAACTATGTAACTGATTTTGTTGTTGTATCATCCAGTTGGATAATTTTGGTTCTTGCTCTCTAGTAAATGGGTTCATGGAACATGGATAGGATGTATGTTGCTACAGTTATACCGTAACTCTTGGTACATTACATTGATATATGTAGTATGTTAAATTTCTTCTTTTCATCCTTTGATCTGATTGCCTCTGCTGGAAGTACTTTATTGTGAAGTGTGAGCCTGTGATGTTACCCTGTAGTCAGAACTGCACAGGCTTTTTTTTTTCTTGAACGTAATGAACGTAATGGAAGGCCTGGCTTCAATTCAGAAGCGCTGCAGGAACTGGAGAGAGAAAAAAAGAGTTTATCTGTTTACGTACAACAAGTCAGAGCAGGAAATCGCCAAACGGGCTCTAAGAGTGAAAGAGTTTATCTGTTTACGTACAACAAGCAGGGGCTCTAAGAGTGAAAGAGTTTATCTGTTTACCAACCGCTCTTTCAAGAGGTTGAAGTACACTGTAACGATTTACAGCAAAAGGCTCTGTTTGTATCTGTTAATAGTTACTGCAGCTGGCTAATAACTCACATCTAATATTAGCTAGCTAGCTAACTATTAGCTGGATGGGTTTGTATAAACAGCTAATGAAAAATGTTAGTAAGATAACTATTAGTTGCTATTATCTCATTTGGTTTAACTAGTGAGATGGTTATCATCTAGAGGTTCAAATAACAATTAGCCTTTGTCTGGATTAAAAGAGAAAGAGATAGTAACTATTACTTGCAGATAACTATTATCTATAAGAATCCAACCGGGCCTAAGGATAAGGTTAGCCTTTGTTTGAATGGTGGCAATGGAAAGAAAAATGAATATTTCTGGCATTTGAAGCCTGAAAGTGCGAACTGTACTGCCAAGAAAAAAAAAAGGCTATCGATTTTCTTGCAGTCATCAGCACAAAAGTAACAGGTGGGCTGTGGGCACACCCACGTGCCCCCTGTTGCAGAAATCAGAAGGCGGCCCATACGATACGAGTGGTGCTTAAGCTCTCGTGGGATCAATGATGATTGATATATCCTGTCTCGTGATTCAGCAAAGTGATGATCTCACGCCCACACGCGTGCGTCGCGACGACTGATCCCACTCCAATCCCCTCCGTCCGGACTCCGGTCGCTGGCCGGTGCGGGCTATTTCCGCCATGTGATTGCGAAATGCATGTTCTCCATTCCGGGCTGCTGGGCCAGGACCGACGTTAGTGACGTTTGGTGCACCAAACTTACGGCAGGATACGTGCGTGTTTATCCTACCACTACCACGTCGTACTGCTTTGTGCCAATCTTCTGCATGTTTGCTTGCTCGTATTTGATTTATAAGCCATGGCTTATCAGTCAATGAATAATATTTTTCTCTCACATTAAATTAGTCAACAATACTTTCAGCCATGGTTTATAAGCCAAACCAGCCCAAACAAACAGGACGCTTGACATGCTCCACAAGTCAAAACTTTCTACTAAGAAACAAGTTTTTAAATATAGATGGATAGAAAGACCCGGTCGTCTGATGATCAGAGCGTAGGCAATGTTGTTCTTGTACGTGTATCTTGCTTCTCTGTTTCCTCTTTTGTTCTTGCAATGACCCCAAAAAAATGAGTAATTTTCAAAAATAAAAAATAAAAAAGAGTGGTTTCGTGGACGTGGTAAGTCTGGGAAGGTAGAGGAAAGAGCTTTGCATGTTTTCCTCCAGAAAGACAGGAAAAAAGGAGTTTTTTTTGTGTGTGGACGAAAGCATATGGAAGCGCCGGAGCTGTCGCTAACAGGGACGACGGCGACTGTGCAACACCTAACATCCACATCCTGACATCCAGCAGTAAAAATCAATGGAGGCTGGAGGCTGCTGAACGTCCAAGTACTTGTACAAGCACGTCGGCCGGGAGAGAGCCGAGTTGCTTCCTCGAATGACCAGCCGTCGGGCGAGAATCGATGAGCGTCGCTCTCGTCTATTCCCTGCCACTGCTAACAGCCTGTGATTGACGGGAGAAGTAGCCATCGAGCGAGTCTCTCCATCTCTCTCTACGATCTCCGTTGCGGCTGACGAAACAAGGAGTGATAGATATATAGATACAACGTTTGTACAACGGCATGCATCTCCGATAGATCACTTATCCTATTTTCAATAAAAAAAAACACAATACGAAGGATTGTGGCTGCTCCAATAAATTACTCATTATATCTCTAATAAGTAATTACTCAAAATCCACACCTCTCTTCCTTAAATACAGGAGATCCATCAACTCGCCCCTATCTACTTAGAGATCTCTCTTTGGAGGATATACAAGAAGAAAAAGCTACGCTACCAACCATAGGAGAGATAGAGTCTAGAGAGTCAGCCACGCTCTCTAATCCTATCATAATAGAGAAGATCTATATTTAGAGATCTAATTAAAAAACTATTAGAGGATTGTTTTTCACTAAATTTTTATTCCTATCTATTAGAAATGATATAAAGAGACTATTAGAGGGGAACATCATGCACGCTTTATTTCACTAGCGATAGACGGGGGACGACAAAGACGTTCATGCTTTCATTCTTTTGTTAAAAAGAAAGGAAACACAGTTCATGTATAGTAGTACTTGCTAGTATTTGCAATGGACAATAGTCAAATCTGAAAACCGACAAGAAGACTGCCGTTCCCAGAACTCCCTTGCTCTAGCCTAGGATAACGATTTCCAACAGCCCGAATGATACGACAATGTTGCCTACTCAGTCGCTCCACTAAACTAGTTCCGATCTAGTCACCACTGTTGACTGCTATGTTATCACAAGTTGTGACTATCACGCATCGGCAATTTGGACTTTTTTATATGGATGGTTTCAACACTAATAATATTTATTTTAGTTATTATTGTTCAACTCAATAAAATTACCATATATATGCATGTAGCACGTACGGCAACTGAAGCCTGAGGCAGAATTTAACTCGTGGAAGTAGCACTTGAGGTGCCAGAAGATGTGTTTCTGTTATAATACTATGGAGGAATAATTGAGATCAGCTCTACTGTAATGGTATTACAAAAGAGCTATAGAACATAAGAGCTAATTTGTTTTGCACGTGATGAACCGTAGAGGCTATTGTGTCACATGATCATACTGAAATTATTCTTGCATACACACGATCTAATCATAGTATGTGATGACTCATGCATGTATATGTTAGGGACTCATACATTTAGGCTCACACAACTTGTATGTTTGATATTGGTTGGTGACATGGGGCCTGTTTGGTACAGCTTATAAGCTGCTTATGGCCAAAATAAGCTGAAGTTAACAGCCAAACGCCACGCTTTTTAGCAGCTTATTCTGGCCACGCTTATTCTCACAGCTCCAATTTATACTAAAAGGCAGAAGCTAGATCAGACCAGCTTATTTTAACTGCCGCTTTTACTCTATTTGTGCAACTTATCTGGGATTGTACCAAACAGGGCCATGGTTTACAAGTCACAAGGTTTTCAGTGACAAAAATCGAAAGTTACGTTGTAATCCCTAGAAGTGGAGTTTATATAAAATAATAAATCCTAGGGTTTCAGCTCATCTGTGGAGTAGCTTCTCTAGTGCAGCTAAAGCAGCTTTAGGAAACATATAGAAATAAAAAATGGCTCCAATGATAGTTTTGTAATAATTTGTATTATGTTTGTGAGCCAGGAGAAACCATTTTTTTCGGCTCCGACTCCTCTATAAAAAACAACTCATTTGGCAAGGGACCCATTTTGTAAATGCCCATTTGGCAGGGCTCTTTGCAAGGAGCCGAAAGAAGCCAAAATCGGAGCCCTACCAACATAAAAAGACAGGTCAGGGTAAATAAAAGGGTATATGGAACCCTAACAACGCTTCCATGTAACTTCTCTGCATTTGGTAACTTCACTGCCGTCATCGACTAGGTCATCAAGTGTCACTGTTGACTTACTGAATTTTTCGTAGGTTTAGCGCTTACTTAACCTGTACATATATGTAAATGGAGGACCATGGCCATTATTGGAGGCCTTTGAGGAGAACACGTTTATCATGTCCACATCACCACATGTCACGTTAATAAAGAAGCGAAATGAGCAAGAGGGAGACACCAAGCAGTCTACCAACTCTAAATGCAGCTTGCTAAAGCAAAGGTGTCCCAACTCCTCCCAATTAGTCGTAACCGGAAACCACGCAGTATGATCCACATCTTTGGTCTCTTGCATAAGTAATTAAATAGGATTACCGCTGCGGATTAATAAGCAACCAGCTGAATTGAACTGTCTGGTTTTAAATCCCAAAGGGTCAGTTTCGCCGATTTACCTGGTAATCTGATCCGGTCCCAATCATGGCGCTGGTGAGCGACGGCATTATTATTAGCATACATGCAGACGCATGGGTGATACGTCCAGGGACAAGCAAGTACGAAAGGTACACCAGCGTTTAGTAGCACTAAATTACTTGCTTATGGGTACAGCTAACAATCAATGACACCGTACTCACTGACGGTGGCCCCAGGTACGTACGTACCTCATGGCGTTGTAATGTTTCCGCCATTTGCTCATCAGCGAATCATCGTCGCTGAAAAGTGAAAAGTCAAGTGGGTTCCATATGCAGAAAAATACTCCACTGGTACTAGTAGCCGAATTTTTTATTTTTTAGTCTTTTTTTTGAAAAAATTTCATAAATATATCCCTGGAGATATGATTTTAAAATCTGGACCCTTAGCTCGGCGCCATCGTTGGTGACGCCGAGGTTACACGTTTCGGCGCCATATATTCTGGCGCCTAGGTCGGGGCCACGTTGGCGGCGTGGACGCTGACATGGCGCCGAGCTTGGCGCCATGATTATTAGCGCCGAGCTCTGACTTACGTATGGACCCTCCCTCCTTCTCTCTTTCTCTTCTCTCTCTCTCTCTCTCGAGCCAAGACGCCCACTGCCACCGTGCCCGCCCGCCACCACGCCCATGGCCCACGCCTCGCCCGCGCCCACCACAGCCCTCGCGCCCGCGACCAG